GGAGCAGAAAAAGGGAATTATTTCTGTTTTCCAAGGTGGAGCCAGGGAATGCTCTGAGCTCCCAGCTCCCAGCTGGGAATGGGAATAAACCCACCCAGATTCCAGATTTTCCACCCCAAACTTGGAGCTGCCCATCAGCACCTGGATTTCTGTCAGTAAAGCTAAAAATCCCAATTTTTCCTCTCTTTTTCCTCTGATTCTCCTCTTTTTAGCCCTTCCCAACCTTTTTTTTCCAGGGGCAAACAGCTTTTTCCTGCTCCCAATTCCTTTCCTGCTGCCTCCAGTCTCACCCTAATCCCGATTCCTCCCCAGTTTTGCCTTTTTGGGATGATTTTGGAAGTGGGAAATGAATCCCACTATTCAAGGGGCTGCTGTGGAAGCAGCCAGCTCGGAAATAATCGGGATCATTTCACCCCAGGGCTGGGATTATTCCCCCAAAATTCCAGAATTTCCTCCCCAGAGCGAGTCCCTCCCGGTGGTGTTTTTAAGCGTAAATTAAAAATGGATTTTGGACTCTTCAGGCTGCTGTTATTTTATATATTCAAAAAGAAGGGGGAAATTCCTGTTCTCTCCTGTTTTTGCAGGCATTCCCAGGATTTGCCAAGCTTAAATCACACCCTGCTGTCTCCAGCTCAAGGTGCAGCAGGGCTGATTCTTGTCCTGGGAGGCCAGAGAAACAGAGCTTTAAAAATCAATAAAATCCCAAGGAATTCTCAGCTGGATTTACAAAGTGAATAAAATCCCAAAGAATTTTCCGCTGAATTTTAAAAATTAGTCCAGTGCCAAGGAATTCTGAGCTGAATTTACAAAGTGAATAAAATCTCGATGAATTCTGAGCTGAATTTTAAAAATTAATCCAATCCCAAGGAATTTTCAGATGAATTTTAAAAATTATTGCAGTCCCAAGGAATTTTCAGCTGAATTTACAAAGTGAATAAAATGCCAAAGAATTCTCAGCTAAATTTACAAAATTAATCCAGTCCCAAAGATTTCTGAGCTGAATTTACAAAGTGAATAAAATCTCAAGGAATTCTGAGCTGAATTTACAAAATGAATTAAAATCCCAAAGAATTCTCAGCTAAATGTACAAAATTAATAAAACCCCAAGGAATTCTGAGCTGAATTTACAAAATGAATAAAATCCTAAGGAATTCTAAGCTGAATTTACAAAATGAATAAAATCCCAAGGAATTCTGAGCTGAATTTACAAAATGAATAAAATCCCAAGGAATTCTGAGCTAAATTTACAAAATTAATAAAATCCCAAGGAATTCTGAGCTAAATTTATAAAATTAATCTGATCCAAATGAATTTTGAGCTGAAATTCCAAATTTAAAGGCAATTTTTTAAGGAATGAATTTCCATCTAAAGGCCCAAGGCTGTCCCCCCTCAGCTCCTGCTCCTGATCTCTTTTATCTCCTGGATCAGCTGGAAATGGGATCAGGAGCTCCACACCAATCCCATGCGCTGCATCCATGGATGCTCCCCCCAAAACCCAGAGCACAGATTCCATCCCTGCACCAGGAATATTTGGGATGGGAGGGAAATCTGTGACATTTTACACCTGGAATGGCACATTGTGGGATTCCCTGGCTGGGAAAAGGGGAAAATCAGGGAAAGGCTGAAATTTCAGGGAAAGCCAAGGACAGGCTGAGCCTTCCCTGCTCCCAGCAGAGAGAGAAAAACCAAAATGTGGGAATATTTCTGTGGGATGCAGCCTTGCTCTTGGATTTGATAAAATATCACAGGTGAGGAGGGGGATTTTTAATTTTTACATTAATTAAGCTGCAATTAACAGAGCTGCACCAGCCCTGCCAAAACCTCCCTCCGAAAACGCTGGAGCAAACATTCCTGGATAAATCCAAAGGCACAATCACACCTGGAATTTCACATTTTGGGCCGTGGATCAATAATCAATCCAGTTTTGATATCAAAATTCAGATTCTGCTGCAGGAACGCCTCTGGTTTTAAGGAATTCCTTCACACCCCAAAGCTCCCACCAGGAGCAGGGAATGTTTCCCAGGATCTGCAGCTTCTCCTTGGATTTCTGACCCCCTGGGGGTGGGGGCAGGGCAGAGCCACCCCTGGCCTGAGGGGGCTCAGAGGGGACACAGTGACATCCCAGCATCCCTGGGGAAACATTCCCAACACCAATCCCAGATCCAGGGGTCAGAGCAGAGACCAAGCCTTCCCAACACCAATCCCAATCCAGAGGGTCAGAGCATAGCCTGAACCTTCCCAAAACCAATCCCAGATCCTGAGCAGAGCCTGAACCTTCCCAAAACCAATCCCAGATCCCAGGGGTCAGAGCAGAGCTCAAACATTCCCAACACCAATCCCAAATCCCGGGGGTCGAAGCAGAGCCTGAAGCTCCCCAGCATCAAAGGGGCTCCCCCAAAAATCCATGAAACAATTTCTGAAGCACAACTCATCTGAAGCACAGCCCTATTTTAAATTTGGACAGAAAAGCCTCCCCAAATCCACCCCCCACTCCCAAAATTCCCATCTCCTCCACTCCCCGCACTAACGCTTTGAAAGGTTATTCCCTAAAAACAGGGATTTAGCACAAGGAGCAGGAAAAACCCATCAGACAGGGGCTTTAATCCTCACTAAAAACCTTCCCTGCTCCCTGAGCTGGCCACTTTGGATAAAACAATGTTAATTCCAGAAAAAAAAGGAAAGGAAAACTTCCACCCTGACGGGAAAGCAGCAGCAGCTTTTAGAGGCAGCTTCCACTCGGCTGTGATTAATCAGCTTGTCCACCTTGTCCAAATAGTCCATCGAGCAATAATTAAAAATAATAAGCCAGAAATTATCAAATCACACACAATAACTGCAGAGCTCCTTCCCCTTTCGCTTTTGTTTATTGTTCAAACTTGTCAAGCCCCTCGCCTCGCCCCGAGCAGCCTCGCAGGGAAGGCAGAGCCCCTTCCAGCAGATGGATCTGCAGGATGAAAAATGTCCTAATTCTGACCCTTTCCATTCAATCCATGACCCTCCCCAATTGTCCCAGTGCTGTTTCTGCCAATCAGCAGCAGGGCCAGGGGACAATCTGTTGTCACCAGGTTTTGCTCCTCTCCAGGTACATTTTGTTCAGATTTTGGCTCCAGCTGAGATCAGAACAATCTCCTGCCTGCGTTTGCTTTCATGTTCTGCAATAAATATATTTATTAACTGAGATTTGGGGAGCTAAACTCCAGCATGCACCACCCTAGAGCTGGGATTACCCAGGGAAAAGAATCCAAATTATCACCTGTAATATTTGCAGCAAGTTTGCCTTTATCACCGCAAATAACAACACAAAATTCAGTGGCCCTCTCCTGGGGGGAGATATAATATAATAATATTGGATATTTAGCAAAGGAAAGACATACAACTCTGGGAAAAGCATCCTCGGTGTTTCAGGAATAAAAAACCCAAATTCCCCTGGAGAAAAGCCCCGCTCTGCTCGCAGTGCCCCTGTTCCTGCAGACAAATGCTCTGGGACAGAGCACAGCCACTTACCTTTAAACTCACCCAGAGCAAAACTACTTCCCAAAAAAGTTTGCAAGGAAAAAAAAAAAAAAAACAACAACAACAACCCAAAATCATCACCAGAACCTCAGGAAAAACTAAAACCTACCAAGGAGAGGGTTTCGAGTGCGTTTATCCCCAGCTCCTTCCCCGCTGCCTTGTCCTTTTTCTTTTTTAATTTTATATATATTTTTTTTTTTTTTTTCACATGCCCTTTCCAATACCTTGAACCCCCCCGGTCAGGGTAACGACGACAATCGCGACAGGGCACGGCGGCGGCCGCTGCCCCGAGGATTGTCCGGCCGCACAAAGGCTGCAAATGAAAAGCAGCAAATGAAAGCGGCTTCCAGAAAGCCCCAACTTTAACGCTCGAGTTGCAGTGAAAAATTCTGGGCTCCGGTCCTTGGGAAAGGAGCAGAGCTCGGAGGTTTCTGCCCCCGAAAGGCGCCGAGGAGCGCGGGGAGAAGGAGGGAGGTGGGAAGGGGCGCAGCTTTTTGGGCAGCTCCCACCAAACCCTTCTCCTGGAGCCTGAAAAGCCGGGATGTGTTTTATTCCCCACCTGGACGGGGATTGCAGTGCCAGCCCTGATTTCACTGGGACCCGCACGGGAGAGCCGCTCGCGGCTGCACACGGGGGATTCCTGCAAAGCCGGAGTGTTTCTGTAAAGGGAAATATCTGCAGTTACCCACAGATAACCCCGGCAGCTCCCGGCCCTGCCTTTCGAGACTTGATCAGCTCGGCAAAACTTTGATTTCTGTGCAGAGGGGGAGGGAAGAGGCCGCTCCTTCCCCGGGCACCGCTCCAGGCCGGGATGCGGGACCGGGATGGGGAACCGGGATTGGGAACCGGGATCCGGGATTGGGATGAGGAACCGGGATGCGGAACCGGGATTGGGAACCGGGATGCGGGATCGGGATGAAGAACCGGGATTGGGAACAGGGATGCGGGATCGGGATGAAGAACCGGGATGGGGAACCGGGATGAGAAACCGGGATTAGGAAGCGGAATTGGAAACCAGGATGGGGAACCGGGATCCGGGATCGGGATGGAGAACCGGGATGGGGAACCGGGATGGGCAACCGGGATGAGGAACAAGGATGAGGAACCGGGATTAGGAAGCGGAATTGGCAACCGGGATGAGGGTCCCGCAGCCCGGTCCGGCCGCGCAGGGAAAGCCGCGCCGGGGCCACCGGGATGGGGAATACCGATAGAAAGAGGAATAACCGGGGAATGCGCGGATGTCGCAGCGCGGGGTGGGCGGAGGGACGCGCCGGACACCCCCTCCAAAAAGGGAAAAAAAAAAAAAAAAAAAAGGAAAAAAGTTTAAAAAGTAGAAAAAGCCAAAGCGCAGCAGCGATTTTGGGTCTCTGGGGCCGGCCACCCGCAGCTCCGTCCCCGCGGTACCGGGGGGGTTCGGGGGCCCGCGCTGGGTATTTGTGCGCGCGGCGCGCAGCGGCCGCAGAGCCGCGCTGGAGACCGGCGGGGCCGCCGCGCCCGACACTGCCCCGGCCGCTCGCCCCGCTCCTTGTCCTGCTCCTGCTCCCGGCCTCGCCAAAGTTTTTTTTCCCTTTCCTCGTTTCGGAGCTTTTTGGTTTTCTTGTTTTTTGTAATTTTTTTGTTTAGCGTTTTTGTGCTGAGGAGAAGTAATAAAAAGTTTTTTGCCAACTTCTCGCGGTTCTTCCCCCTCTCTGCGCAGCCGGTGGAGACTTTGTTTCTCCGAGTTTTTACTTTTTTAACCCATCCCTGCCCCTTAGCGCCTTTTTAATTTTTTTTTTATTATTAATTTTTTTTTTCGCCCCCTTGTTCTCCCTCGGCCACTTTCTCGCATGAATCTCCTCGACCCTTTCATGAAAATGACAGAAGAACAGGACAAATGTATCTCCGACGCCCCCAGCCCCACCATGTCGGATGACTCCGCCGGGTCCCCCTGCCCCTCCGGATCCGGCTCGGACACGGAGAACACCAGACCCCAAGAGAACACCTTCCCCAAGGGCGACCCGGACCTGAAGAAGGAGAACGACGAGGACAAGTTCCCGGTGTGCATCCGGGAGGCGGTGAGCCAGGTGCTGAAGGGCTACGACTGGACCCTGGTGCCGATGCCGGTGCGGGTGAACGGCTCCAGCAAGAACAAGCCGCACGTCAAGAGACCCATGAACGCCTTCATGGTGTGGGCGCAGGCGGCCCGCAGGAAGCTGGCGGATCAATACCCGCATCTGCACAACGCCGAGCTCAGCAAGACCCTGGGCAAGCTCTGGAGGTGAGTGCGGGGCCGGGATGCCCGCGGGGACCGGGGGATGCGGAGCGCGCTGCGCCCAGCCAGAGGATGTTGGAAACGCGCTGGGAAAACTTCTGCGGAGTGCAAAACTTGTTAGGTCGAGGAGAAGCCGGGATAGGAGGGGGAAAGCAGGGAAAGTCGTTCGCTTTGTGGCGTTGGAAGTGGTTTCTGATCCCGGAGCGGTGCCCGGGGCGGGGGGACCGTGCGGAGCCCCCCGGGCTGCCCCGGCCGTTGCTTGTTTGCGCTGCCGGTGCGGAGGAAATGATGGATTTTGGGGATTGCATCAGCTCGGGCCGGGCCGGAGGGAGCGCGGGGCGATGCGGGGAGGGACGGAGCGAGGGTGGGTGGCGGCGGTGAGTGGCGCAGGGCCGGGTGGCCTCCGAGTGCCAGAATCAGGCGGGGAGGGGAGGAAAACACGAGGCGAGTGAGTCACCTGGGCCACCGCGTCCTCGGGGACTGCGCGACGGGCGGGGGGGATCCTGCCGCGCTGAAACGGGGCAGGAAAGCTGGCCCTGGCAGGCAGGGGTGTCCCCAAAGCGCCCGGGGACAGCCAGATGTGCCCGCAGGGTGGGGAAGGGCGAGGGCTGGACCCCGCTGGACTCCTGCAGCTCTGGTCTGGCCACCGAAGGAATCTGGGGGACAAGAGGGTGACAACTAGAGAGCGCTGGGGACGAGGGGGTGACAACCAGCGAGTGTCCCGGATAGGGAGTTCAGGTTGTGGGGGGCTTTGCATCGCTCTTTGGGGGGATCCGAGGGAGGGATCGGCACTGGTGTCACTGCCCGGCGCCCCCCCTCCCCCCCGAGCCACAAGTGACCCCGCGCCCCCCGTGTCCCCCCAGGCTGCTGAACGAGAGCGAGAAGCGCCCGTTCGTGGAGGAGGCCGAGCGGCTGCGGGTGCAGCACAAGAAGGACCACCCCGACTACAAGTACCAGCCCCGGCGGAGGAAGTCGGTGAAGAACGGGCAGGCGGAGCAGGAGGAGGGCGCGGAGCAGACCCACATCTCCCCCAACGCCATCTTCAAGGCGCTGCAGGCGGACTCGCCGCAGTCCTCCTCCAGCATCAGCGAGGTGCACTCGCCCGGGGAGCACTCGGGTACGTACCCACGGAGCCTGCGGGGGCACGGCACAGCCGCCCAAAACTGCAGCCCAGACCGGGCTGGAGGTGGGGTTGGGTGAGGGGAGGGGAAGGAAAGAGCCAGGAATGGAGTGAGAAGAGGGAGAACTGCCCACGAGCTGTACCCAGAGCCTGGGCACGCAAATTATCGCCCCACTGCAGCCACTTCCCCCTGTTTGCTCATAAGAAACACGAACCCGTGCTTTTAAAACCCAAAAAACCACCCTGCTGCAGCTCTGAGGGCACAGCAGGCTGCTGCCCGTGGGGCTGGGCTCCGTGTCCCTCACACCTGGACGCGTGCGTGCCCCACTCACCACTGCCACCCCTGCCACAGCCTCACCCTCTCCCTCTCCTTCCTCCCCCAGGCCAGTCCCAGGGTCCCCCCACGCCACCCACCACCCCCAAGACGGACCCTCAGCCCGGCAAGCAGGACCTGAAGCGCGAGGGCCGCGCGCTGGGCGAGGGCGGCCGGCAGCCGCCGCACATCGACTTCCGCGACGTGGACATCGGCGAGCTCAGCAGCGACGTCATCTCCAACATCGAGACCTTCGACGTCAACGAGTTCGACCAGTACCTGCCGCCCAACGGGCACCCGGGCCAGCCCGGCCAGGTCACCTACACGGGCACCTACGGCATCAGCGGCGCCGCCGGCGTCTGGATGTCCAAGCAGCAGCAGCAGCAGCCGCCGGTGCTGAGCGCCGAGCAGGGCCCGCAGCAGCAGCAGCAGCAGCAAAGGACGCACATCAAGACGGAGCAGCTGAGCCCCAGCCACTACAGCGAGCAGCAGCCGCACTCCCCGCAGCAGCAGCAGCAGCAGCTGAGCTACAGCTCCTTCAACCTGCAGCACTACAGCTCGTCCTACCCCAGCATCAGCCGCGCGCAGTACGAGTACGGCGAGCACCAGGGCTCCTCGGGCTCCTACTACAGCCACGCCGGGCAGGGCGGCGGGCTCTACTCCACCTTCAGCTACATGAGCCCCACGCAGCGCCCCATGTACACCCCCATCGCCGACACGGCGGGGGTGCCCTCCATCCCCCAGACGCACAGCCCGCAGCACTGGGAGCAGCCCGTCTACACGCAGCTCACCCGGCCCTAAGGGAGGGGAGGGCGCCGCCGGAAAAGGCAAAAAAGCCAGGAGAAAACGTTGAAAGAAGTCAGAAATGCGCGAAAGCGGCGAGGACGAGTTGCCTCAGACTGAAATCGAAATGATAATTAAAAAGACGCTCACGTGGAAGCTGCGCCTCGAGCCTTCTGCACTACAGCATCCTCCAGGACCCGCTCCCAGCCCCGAAATTTGGGGCAGACTTGCCAAGGACTGGACTTGAACTCTGCTTCTTCCAGCGTGGAGAGGAGATTTCCACCCAACCCGCCCAGCTGGCTCCTTCTCTGGACTTTTGTAATGATTTTTTTTTTTTTAGCAGTAATTAAAAGCAAGATAAAAAAATAAAAATAAAAAAAAAGAAGAAAAAAAAAGGGGGGGTAAAAGAGAAAACTCAGAGTCCTCTGTGAGGAATATTCTCTATTTTAAATATTTTTAGTATGTACTGTGTATGATTCGTTACCAATTTGAGGGGATTTATACCTATTTTTTAGAGATTTTTTGGAAATGCTCTTATTTTTCCAACAGCTAAAAAAAAATGACACTTAGTGGAGCAGCCCTAGGTTTTCTTGCAGAGGTATTTTTGTATAGAGAAGTGTCTTTTTTTGCTCTAAAAATGAAACTAAACCAGCGTGCTCTGCCCTGGGAACCCAGCACTGGGGCAGGGACCAGCATGGGAGAGGCTTTATTTTTCTAACTCGTAGCAAAACCAGCCAGGAGGAGAACTTCACTTTATTTTTTAATAACCTTGAGCCTTAAAAGAAAAACAAAAAGAGGAAAAATAAAATTAAAAAATCCATGGAGCAGCCCCAAAGTGCTGCTGGAAGCCTTAAAGCAGCCCCTGATAATCACTGGCCCCGGGCTGGGGCCGAGCCCGACCCCTCCGGGCACCCCCTGCCCACCCCAGGGTGCCAACCCAGCCGGGGGCTCCTCTCTGCCTGGGAGCCGGCACAGATCCTTTAAATTATTTATTCGGGGAGAAGAGCAGCTTTTAATCACCGTTTTCCTTGGGTTTTGTTGTTTTAATCTCCCCCCAAAGTCCTTTCAGAAGCGTTGCATTAGTGGGAGCATTATTTGGAAGGTGACCGTGCCTGTTAAATTATGGTCTGAAACTGTAACCAGTCCTTTATTTATCTCTTTAATTCCTTTTGGTTGTTGTTATTATTATTATTATTATTCTTTTTGGAATCTGTGTCCTGGGTTTGTACAAACTTTGTGCTCTTCCTTTTTTTTTTTTTTTTTTGTTTTGTTTTGTTTGAGGTTTTATTTTTTTTTTTTCTTTTGCCTTCGAGGAGTAACTGGAAGAAAAAAAAAAAGAAAAAGAAAAATGAGATTTGTACAAACTAAAGATTGCAAATGTAGCGGATCACTGAATCATTTGCCTTGTTTCCTGCCTCAGCTCTCTGGGACACACCAGCTCGTGCAAGGACGAGCCCCACACCCCAGCCCTGCTGCAGGGGTGGCACCGTTTTAGCCTTCAACCCCCCCAAAAACCGCCTGGGAGAGGTGGGGGGACACTGATTTTGGTGAAGCTGTGGCTGAACAGTTAAGGATTGCTTTTTAAAAAAGACAGCAGACTTTTTTTATTTAAAAAAAAATGATATATTTGTTAACTTTTTTTTTTTTTTAGGGATTCAGTAGGAGAAAAAATCTTAAAGCACTCTTATAATATGGCATCTTTCTATTTCTGTATAAAAGCAGATCTTTTTAAAGTATTTCTGTAACTTAAAAGACCTGTCCTTTAAATCATATTTTGTCTTTAGGTAAGTTTGGTTTGGTTTTGGTTACAAGATCCTTCTCTTTGTGAAACTTACCTTTTTTTTTGTTTGTTTTGGTTTGGTTTATTTTGTATATTATTGTTTGCAATAAATATACATTGTATCAAAAGTTGCACCTGCCCCGGATGTGGGATTTATTATCAGGGTTTGTTGTCAGGGGTTTTTTATCATTTTTTCAGGGTTTTTCTCAGCCTCCAGGGGACATGGAATGCTGGATGGGTTTGGGTTCATGGCTGAGGGTTGGGGTGTCCCCCCCATCTTTATCCCAAGCACAGCCATCCCAGAAAAAGCAGAGCCAGGGAATAAATGAGATTGGGGATGGACAAATCCAGACTGGCCAGGTCAGGGTGTCACCCCAGAGGGGACACCTGAGCTCCAGCTGTCCCCAAATCCTGCTGGCTCTGCTGTCCCTGGGGTGTCTGCTGGATTTTGGGGATGCTGAGCATGAGGGGAGGAGAAAGGAACAACCCCAAGGGTTTGGGCTGTCAGGTCATCCTTTAAAAACTGCTGAAATACTCCCAAAAAACCCGAATTCTCCCACCCGCCAAGCAGGACCTGTGTCATCCTCAGGGATCAATGTCCCCTGTCCCTCCCCGGGAAGGAATGACTCCCCTGGCTCAGCCCAGCTTTGATTTTCCAACCAAACCCATCCCAAACCCATCCCTGCCCTGCTGGGCTCTGGAGCAGCTCAGGCCAGGCTTTGTCACCTCCCCCCTGCTGCTGTCACCTCAGAGCTCGCTGGGGACACAAATCTCTGCAGGTCCCTGCAAGGCCTCAGATTCCAGCTGGGAAAACTTCTGTCAAATGTCCCAACTTGTCCCAAATTCCCCCTGGAGCCGCAGCTGGCACTGGGCTGCTGTGGGGCACCTAGAAAAGCAGAGCCAGGGAATAAATGGGATTGGGGATGGGCAAATCCCGGCTGGCCAGGTCAGGGTGTGACCCCCAAAGGGGACAGCTGAGCTCTGGATGTCCCCAGATCCTGCTGGCTCTGCTGTCCCTGCTCCGGCCTGCCCTATCCAGGGCCCAGTTCCAGCAGTCAGGTGGAGATTTTATCCCCCCTGGAATCTTTTCCTGGCTGGAAAACCCCTCTGATCCCCCAGAGCACCCAGAGCTGCCGGCCACACCACAAACCCTCCACACCTCTGCAGAGCATTTTACACTTCAGCCAAGCACCGAAGGGATTCATTAACTCTGAGCATTAATTGGGGTCAGTGTCACTCTGCTGTGCCATGTGGGAACTCTTTGATCCCGGACATTTCTCCTCCTCAGCATTTCCCCTGCCCCGCTCGGACTTTGCTCGCTGCAAGTTTTGGCCTGGCTGTTTTTTGGGACAAAAGAACAAACACAGCTCCTGGGTTTCGGGTGAGGAAGGAGCTCCAGGGAGAGCTCGGTGGGCCCACGAGCAATTCCATAAAGCAGAAATTGCTCGTGTGGGTGGGATGGGCTGGAAGAGGGCTCGGAGTTAGGACAGACAGTGCCTGGCCCTGCAGGGCTCTGGAACAGGAGGGACCTTTCTCATCCCACCCTAAAGGGAGCAGGGCAGATCCCACCGGGATTCCTGGGACATTTCTGTCCCCACCCGGCCGTGCTCTGCTCCCCTCTGTCCCCTTTTCCAGAGCAGAAGCATCCCTGGGATTTCTTCCTCACAAAAACCCCAAAAGAGCAAAGCTCCTGCCCCAGCCTGGCCCTGCCATTCCAGCTCTGCTCTTGGGGTGAGCTCGGAAATTTTTGGGGCTCCTCTGGCTAAAACCGAGCTGGACACGGGGCAGCTCCGAGCACCCCCGGCTCGGGGGGACACGCAGGGAGGGGAAAACGCTGGAAATCCGCCCGGCTTCGGGCAGCAGAGCTAGAAAGCAGAGCGGGAGGGTGGGGAGGGGATCGGGGAGCGCAGGGAACTCCGGCAATGCTGCAGGGCAGGTTTGAGCGGCGAGGGCGGAGCGGGCACTGGTGCGGGGCTCTGGGATGGGGGGCACCGGCAGAGCCCCCACAATTCCTGCAGAAACTCGGGCTGGGGGTGGGCAGAGCGAGGCTGAGCCCTGTTTTTTCTGGGTTCTTTCGTCCGTTTTCATGAGCGCTGATAAAACATAAAAGAGGGAGAAAGTTTCCGAGCAGCCCCACGGCCGCTCCCGGGGACATCCCGGCTTTCCGGGCTCGGTATCAGCTGCTCCCTTGGGGAGCAATTTGCATTTTTTTTTCAGCCAGCTGTTGGTGCTGACACGGCCCTGGAGCCGTGGCTGTGTCCCGGAGAGGAGCAGGAGCCGTGCCGGGAGCCCGGGATGCGGAGCCCGGGAGGGGCCGGGCTCTCCTCTGCCCTTCCCGGGGCCCGTCCCAGCAGGAAAAGTGAAAAGCAGCGGAGTTTCACCGCAGCTGGGATCTGTTTCCCTCGGGATCGCGGCAGGGAATTGCAGCCACCCGGGAGAAGGTGGGAACAAACCCAAATCCCATTTCTCCGCCCAATCTGGTTCAAACATTTGGGTTCCAGGCTGCAAAGATGGGAAAAGTGGGGAGAGGGGGGAGCTTCGAGACACAGGGCACAAACGGCTCCGAGGAATGAGGGAAGACAAAATAAAAACCACCAAAAATAAAACCTGAAGCTCCTCTAGCACCTCCTGCCTCTGTCCTGCTGGGAATGAGGATGCAGATGGGATTGGGATAGCTCAGTGCTCGGGAAACGGCTGCCAAGGGTGCTCCCTGCAGGGCTGCAGGACACGGGGACACTGCTGTCCCCTCTGCCACCCCCACTGTCACCCATCGAGCCCAAAAGCAGCAATGGGAGGAGAGGAAAAGGCTCCCCCAAAGCCCTCCTGCAAAGCCCCCTCCAGGGAAGAACGAACCCCTCTGGAGCAGGGATGGTTCATCCCCATGGCAGTCCCCACACCAAGCTCCCAGCCATCCCACAGATCCCAAAATTCCCAGGATCCACTGTCTGACACCCCAATCCCATGGAGAAAAACCCCATGGGGATCTGCACCTTACCAGATCCAGACCAACCACCAAAAATCCCAATATCAGGGGAAAATCCCATGCGGATTTGGACCCTGCACAGTCCAGATCCACCCCAAAATCCCAAATTCGGGAAAAATCCCCATGGGGATCTGCACCCTAGAAGGTCCAGACCCACCACTCAAAATCCCAATTTCAGGGGACAAACCTGTGGAGATCTGCACCCCACAGACTCCAGATCCACCAACCAAAATTCCAATTTCAGAGGAAAATCCCCATGGGGATCTTCACCCTACAGGGCGCAGATCCACCACCCAAAATCTCAGTTTCAGGGGAACATCCCAGGAGGATTTGGACCCTGCATTTTTCAAATCCACCACCCAAAATCCCAAATTCAGGGACGGATGAACGAACCCCCACACTGGAGTTTCTCACAGCTGGGAAGGATTTCACCCTCCATCCTGGAAGTGACAGCTCTGACGTGGTCCCCCAGCCCAGCACAGGTAGTACAGAGTTTCTGTCCCCTCCCAGTTGTGTCAGAAAGAAAAGAAAAGCAGTTTTACATCTGATTTTGCTGCTGCCAGCGTGGGGATTAATTACACACCTCGTCTGGGCAGAGCCCAGCTATCACCACGCAGAGTCTCGCTCCATAAATTTCCAGCTGCTAATAATAAGGCTGGACAGGAGTTTTAAAGCTTCAGTAGACAGTTTACAATTAACCTGCTCCTGTCAGCTGGAAAATCACCTTAAAATGGGATTCCAGCTCTCGTCTGACTCATTTGGAGTGGGAGTTTCTCTTTTGGAGAGTGAGAAGCTGCTCTGGAAACCAGGGAAGGCCCCAGGGGTGCTTTCAGCTCAGGGCTGACCTGAATTTCTCCCAGTATAAGAGCAGATTTCACCAGGTGTCCCTCGGGACTGCCAGCCCAGCCCTCCGAAGCTGGAAATCAGCTCCCTGAGCTTGGGAGCTTTTCAGGCTCACCCCAAGCAAGTTTTTCATCAAGGAGACAAAGCACACCTTGGATTTACCAGCCGGGGGAGAGAAAAATGTGGATTTTGAAGCCCCAAATTACCAGAGATGCTCGAGGAATGACAAACACAGAGCACAGGGTGCACGCACCTCACCAGCCCCGGTGCTTCCCGATTCTCTGTGGGTTTTTTCCAAGCTGGGAGGCGAATTCCAGGAGTTGGAGTCACCATCCCAGTGGTCGTGTCCCAGCTGAGCCAGGGTGACCCGGACATCCCTGGAGCTCTGACACCCTCTGCTCCCTCTTTCAGCAGCTCGCTCACAGCTTTTACAGATAAAAATCATCCTAAAAAAGAAAATATGGACTTTTATCGTGAGGTTGGGGAGGCTTTGGAACAGAATTTCCAGAGAAGCTGGGGCTGCCCCGTCCCTGGAAGTGTCCCAGGAGCAACCTGGGATTGGGGAAGGTGGGAATGGATGGGATTTAAGGTCCCTTCCCACCCAAAAAAAATCCCATTATTCTATTCAGGGAAGCTTTGGGATCCAGACCGAACCTCGTGGGGGTTTGTCCCTCATCTTCGCCACAGCTCCAAGGTGAAACTTCCCAAAGCTCCCCCTCGAAACACCTTTGAAAAGCCCCAAGAACGAATTCCACCAGCGAGGAGCAGCTCGGGCAGGGGGGAGCGGGGAGCCGCCCAGTCATTTTCTGTGATTAAAAGGCAAATTTTATTCCTGGAGAAACTTGGAAGCAAATGTGGCGTTGCCATGGTTTCACACCCACTGGCTGGAAATGACAATATTAGCAGGGTGACCTGGTAATTAGAAACTGTGCCCCCAGGTCAGGCTGCGGAGAAAATAAAGAGAGATTAGGGCGTGCTAAAGACACCGCATAATGCTGCGGGCTCCTGCGCTCCCCACCTTTTATAAGCGGCCCATTTAAATGCAGATTCTGACTTTCCACCTGGGGCTGCTAATCTGTCTCACAGCCAGATCAAACAATGGGGCAGCGCTCCGCACTGTGGGGCCGCGCAGCTCCGGGGCTCGGGCTGGCACGGCCCCCTCGCTCCGCCTGTCCCCCTTTTCTCAGGGGGAAAAAAAAGGGAAAAAAAACAGAGGGGTTCGTTGGCAGATGATTTTTTGTGCCCTTGGATGGTTGTGTCCTCCTCTCCCGGCC